ATTTGACCACTTGACCTAACCAACTTAAGACATTCAAGCACATGTCGGATGGCTATTCTGGCTGTTCTGTAACTGGGCACAGGAGTCAAGAAAAGGAGAAGAGTGGCCCTGTCCTCAGGAAGTGCATGACTCTAGAGCTGGACAGAATCTTAGAGGCCATTTCTTCTGACACCTTCATTTTGTAGATGAGGAGCCTCAGAAAGAGTGTCTTGTCCCACATCCAACAGCTAGTAAGAGATGGAAATAAATTTGAACCCAGGACCTCTGCCTTTTAACACCTCCTCTCGTGTTAAGTTAAGCAAACTAGCCACACAGGGAATGAATAGAGATAATCGTGAGCAAGTGGTAAATTTTGCAGTAAAAATCCAGCCTGCTTTTGTCAGCCCTGTTCTCATGAAGTCCATCCAACCATCTCCTAGCTGTAAACACACTGTCACTAATGACTCTGAAAATCTCTCCTTCCTACACTGCATTAGCGGCTACTTCCTCTGTCTCTGTAACTGAAAACAGGACATCCCTTCAGCATTGTCTGGATTTCAAACTTGGCTGTCTCATAACGTGCCTTGATAGTGCCTGGGGCAGTCAGATGCTGCAACTCATAATCTTATTCTCAAGCACTCCGTTTTGATGCTGAGCTCTTGTGTGGGAGACCCAACAGATTAGGGGCCACTTCCCCTAAACAGAAATACAAACCATTTTTATTTAAGCTACTAAAGTCCAAACCTACCTACCTCCTTCTAGAAAGCAAATGTATTAGCTTTTTCAACTATGCTGGTATTGTTTTAGTTTAAATTCTACTTAACTTTCCGCTTTGAATTGGTGTAATCATAAAAGCTTGGTTAGGAGGTCCTTGGATGCACTTAGTCTAAACTTTCCCTGAATACAAACCAACCAAAAGGACAATGTGCCTGACTTGGCTTGGGCTTAAAGGCTGAGAAGGAAGCTACTGCTTTTGTTTGACTTTGTTTGACTAATTGTCATGTTCTTCCTTGCATCAAACCTATTTGCTTCTGTGTTATGCCTCCTTATTGCTCCTGGTTCTTCTCAGTAGGGCAAGGAAAGTAAACCAAATACTTCTCAGGATAGCCCTTCAAATACTTGAATCTGGCTTCTGTGTCCCTCCTGTGTCTTCTTTCCTGCAGGCTATGCATGCCTAGTTCTTTGCTTTTATCCTCATTTGCCTAAGCTCCAAAGGTCTTCGCAAACCTGATCACTCTTCTTTGGACATTCTCCAAGGTATCGATGGCCTTCCTAAAAGGTGGTAACCTAGAATTCAATGTAAGACTCTCTATATTAGTCTGACCAGGGCAGTGTGCCCTTACCTCCCTAATCCTGGAAACTTCACCTCTCTTAATATATCCTACTATCTCATTGATTTTTTTGGTTGTCAGATCTGCTGTTGACTCAGATTGAAATTGTGGTTCACTAACACTCCCCCAATCATTTCTCCAATAAATAGCTTATCTTCACTATAGAGGACTTCAGTTTGCTTCCTGCTGTCCATTTAGTAAAACATAAGCTTCCCAAAGGCAGGGGCTGTTTCTTTTTTGTCTTTATATTCCTAGCATCCAGTTACTTCACCTCATGTGTCTCAGTTTCTTCATCTGTAAAATGGGCTGGAGAAGGAAATGGCAAACTCCTCTAGTATCTTTGCCAAGAAAACCCCAAATGGGGTCACAAAGAGTCGGAGAACTGAAAAATGAACAACAATAGAATATAATAGAAAATAATATCAATAACACTAATCTATTCATTATTTGTTCATAACAATAATAATAGCTAGCATTTAGTTATCACTTTAAGATTTGCAAAGACCCTCATGTACATTATCTCACTTGATAAGTAACTCTGTTACCCTTCTATTCAGCCAGCTCCAAAGAGCCCTAAGCAAGACTACTGTAGATGCCCAATATCCCTGCCCCCAAGAGTTAAGGGCCCAAAAGCCTTCTGGATACATGGCAGAGTCCACTGATGGTCTCTAAAGTCCTTTTGGATTCTAGATCCATGACCCAGGGTCCTCTAGTCAAAGCCATTTTTAAGCCGGAATCCCTGGTACGATATACATTTTCTAAAACTGAGGAAGGCTGCCCCTTTGTCCTGTTCTGCTCTGAGTTGGGTGCCAGGGTCCCCGTTGGGCTGCATCAGGGAAAAATTTATTACTAGTGTTTGCCGGGAATTTATGGAGGGGTTAAACTGTTTCCCTTAAAGCTGTGGTTTTAGAGCCTTTTAAATTCTCCATTTTGCATAAGCATCAATCTCCCAGGGAGCTTAGAAGGAAATAACTCTGCCACTCAGATAATGTATTGGTCCCTGGTATCAAAATATATAAAAAATTACAAGGTCATTAACTATCACGCAGAGAAGAGAAATGTGTTGCAGGCTGCAGGGAGAATTCCAGTCTGGTTGAACTGGGTTGGAAACAGCAAGACTGTGTTCTGCATTCATTGTCCTTTCATATGAAAAAATTTTTATTCTATACGGAGAGAGGCAAGAGGAGAATAATGTAGTGCAGAGAGCAATGGACCCAGAGTCAGGCCAGATACAAGTTCAAATCCTTCCCCCAGTCCTGACGTACTTATTAACTATGTGATCCTGAGCAAATCACTCTGAACTTTGGGTAGCTCATCTGTAAAATGGGGGAAATAAGATCTGTAGTACAGAGTTAATGGGATTGTTATGAAAGAGCTATACTTTAAAGCACTATATAAATGTCAGCTATTATTGACTCAGAGCTTTCGGGTTAATAGGACTGCTAGCTAGAAAGATGTGTATGCACTAGAGTGCACCACACACACACACACACACACACACACACACACACACACACACATAAATATTACCTTTGAACATACAGTCAAAATTCATTGACTTGGACTACATAAAGATGATGTAATGGGCAGCTAGGTGACAAAGTGGTTAGAGTGCTGAGCCTGCAATCAGGATGAGTTCAAATCTGGTCTCAGACACTTACGAGCTGGGTGACCCTGGGCAAGTCACTTCACCCTGTTAGTGTCAATTTCCTCATCTGTAAAATTAATTGGAGAAGGAAATGGCAAACCATTCCAGTATATTTACCAAGAAAACCCCAAATGGGGTCACAAAGAGTCAGACACAACTGAAATAACTCAACAACAAAAGACGATGTGTCTGAATTAAAGGATGAATGTGGATACATACGTTTTCTTTAATGCAGTTCAGATTAATATATTATTAGCAAGTATCTTACAGAGGGAATTCCTGTTCAAATATGGTTTTGACTAGAGGATCTCAGAGAGCTAGCATTTAAAAGCTAGTCAGTTAGTCAACAAGCATTCCAACAAGCCTACTATGTGGCAGGTATGGTACCAAGCACTGTGGATACGAGAAAAGCAAAAGGGAGTCCCTTTCTCCAAGGAACTCACAGCCTAGTGGAAGAGACAACATGTACTGTAGACAACATGTTAAGTAATCAGGTATATATATAAAGGCTATAGAGGAGACTCAATCCCAGGTTCCTCCAGATACCAAGTCCAGCACTGTTCACTATACTGATTTCACCTAAGACTTGATCTTGCCATCATGGGACTCACCATTTGGTTAAGGATGTCAAGACATAAACATAGGTAATTATAAAGTCAAGTATAGATGAGACAGGAGCAGGGAACAACAGGATCTGAAGGAGGGAGAGCTTGCTTCTGATTCGGAAAATCAGGGAAAGTTCCCTGGAGGCAGCAGCAATGGAGCAGGGCTTCCTAGGATGCAGAGAGTTTCAACAGGCAAAGATGAGGACCTGGTGATTCTAGGAAGAAGTAACATGGGAGTCAAAGCCTTAAAGATAAGAAAAGAAAAGATGAATTTGGGAAATTGTGAGTCATCCAGTTTGCCTGGAATATTCAGTCATGAAATGATTGTTTAGGAGACTGGAAGAAGATGCTAGCACAAGCTGTATCTGCTGGGCTGCAGTGGAGCTGGGTTGTAGAGGGGCCATAGAATCATAGAATGAAGACCTGGAAAGGATCTCAAGATCTTCTAGCCCGATGCCCTCATTCTTCAGGTGAGGGAACTCAAACCCAGGGAGATATAGTAACTTGTCCATTCATTGGGACAATCAGTAGCAGGTTTTCTGACTCCAAATTCGTTGCCCTATGTTGCCACTTTAATATCATCCTGGGGAGTCTGGATTTTATTTAGCAAGGAGTTATGAGAGGCTATGGAGCCCATCAGAGGTGGTCATTCAGGAATCTAAGACATTAGTATAGATGTGCTAGAAAAATTGTGAAATCTCCTCCTCAAGAAGTATTTAAGAATAAGAGATAGTGCTTGTTCTCACTTGTCCCTGAGAAGAGGGTGGATTGTGCCCTATGTTACTCCTAGTTATGACTCCCACTTCCTCAGGGAAGTTCTATCTCTCCTGGGCTTGTCTGAATCAAAGAAAGCTTGGGACTTAAGAATGTGAGATTCACATTTTCAGAAGACAGAACACATTGAGAGACAGGGTGTTGTAAAGGATGCTCCATTTGGAGCCTGAGGTCCTGGGTTCAAATTCTGTGTCTACTACTTACCATCTGGGTGGCCTTGGGCAGACCTTTCTAGATCTCAATTTCCTCCCGAAGTTTGTACACATTTTGTATGTGTTTATGTATGTGCTTCCTGTCTGCCCAATAGACTGTAAGCTCTTTGAGGGCAGAGACTATCTTGACTTTTGTCTTTGTATTATTCCTAGTACCTATCACAGTACCCAGTACAGGCAAGGTACTTAATAAATGCCTATCAATCAATTGAGTTGGGTTATGTTGGTTAACAGTTATTAAAGTCCAAATTAGTTGTGACTTAACACATCTGTAAGAATCAATTAGTTTCATTCACACTGAGTGAGCAAGTCAAATATTCAGCTTGTTGGCGACCCTAGTGGTTACTGCAGGGCCAACGTATAACAAAAATGTTTCCACTCCACTTTCCCTCATCTGAGACGGGGTTTCCTGGCCACGTTCACAGCCCAGGTCTCCATCCTCTCTCTCCAGGTCTGGCAGTGTGGGGGCAGCATGGAGGTACTGCCCTGTTCCCGTGTGGCCCATATCGAGCGCACAAAGAAACCCTACAATAACGACATTGATTACTATGCAAAGAGAAATGCCCTGAGAGCCGCAGAGGTCTGGATGGATGACTTCAAGTCCCACGTGTACATGGCCTGGAACATCCCCATGACGGTGAGCACCCAGTGGACAGGCAGAAGCTGGAAAGGGCTGAGGGAGGGGGAGCAAACTAAACTTTGCAGCCATCTGAAGGAGGGTTCTGTTGCCTCTAGGAAATATCTCAATCATCTACCTCTTCCCTCACTATTTACTGGAACAAAAACAGAAAGTCCTGATAAGACAACAGCGGAAAATTGCAGCAAATATTGAACTATCTTCAGGCTTCAGTTTTGGAGAGCCCCCTCATGGCTGCCAACCCCAGAACTAAAAGCAATGGGTAGATGTGGAAAAAAAGACAAACAGGGATAATAAAAGAAAAATATTTTTGGCTGTAACTAGCAACTTTGGTGCTCAGGGCAAGCAGCATGAAGTGTACCTTCAAATGAACTTTGTGATTCAATACTTAATGATACAAAAAGTAATTGAGACAGTTGAGTGGGAGAAGGGAATAAGTTATCGTGGGAGTTCAGGGGTGAGTTTTATTAACAGACTTAAGGATTAATCATTTCTTATTTAACCAATCAACAAGCATTTATTAAATGGTTGACTATATGCCAGGCACTGTGCTAAGTGCTAGGGATACTAAGAAAGATCCTAAGTTCGGTTTCTGAAGTTATACATGTTTTAAACTTTTTGTATTGTCTAAATTTTGGCCCCCAGGACAAAGCCTCACTTGCTCTACTCTAGGTATGACTTTGATTGGAGCTATTGCTGTCCAGAATGGGCTACCTTAGGAAGTAGCAGGAACACCTCCCTTCCCTGCTCCCAACTAGAGGTCTTCCATCAGAGAATGAATGACCACTTATCTGGGATGTTGTAGAGGGAATTCCTGTAAAAGTTGAACTATATGAACCCTGTGATCTCTTCCAACTTTGAGAATGTGTGTGTGTGTATGTGTGTGTGTGTGTGTGTGTGTGTGTGTGTGAGAGAGAGAGAGAGAGAGAGAGAGAGAGAGAGAGAGAGAGAGAGAGACAGAGGTGGAAAGGGAGACAGAGACCAAGGCACAGAGAGAAATAGAGACAAAGAGATAGAAACAGAAAGAGAAAAAAGAGAGAGACAAAGAAAAGGAGAGATAGAGACAGAAAGAGGAAAAAGAGATAGAGAGAGACAGGAATATAAAGAGAGACACAGATAGTCAGGAAGGGACAGATACATAGAGAAAGAGCTGGTAAATAGACATATGCATAGTATGGTTTTGTGTGGGTGGGTGGGTGGGTGGGTGGGGAGAGGTGCTGCGTGTAGGTTTGGGAAAGGAGAGAAAGAAGGGACAATTGGAGTACCTGCCCTCTCAGATCCCTTTCAAATCTAAATTAGTTTGTCCCGTCTATGAAATCTGGACAGAACTGGCCTAAGTGAACCTAAGGACCAGGCAGCATTTACTTGAGGCCTTCATGCTGTTCTCAGCAAAACACAGATCCTAAGGAATGGTGAGGAAGAGAGGGTGGAGGAAATTAATGCAGACACACTCTAGGACAAAAACCCTGGCTGAGTAATCTGCTTGATGCCAAACAGCCTAGCAAGGAAATTCAGAGGAGGAGTGGAAAACATGATTTCCTTTCGTCTGCGTGTTTTTTGCTACGGGAGTTTTCAGATCAAAATGACAAAGGAAGGCAGTCAAAAAATGCCCTCACCCACGAGCAAAGATGGAGAGAGAGCCCAGTGGAGCCCATAAAACCTTGTTTTCCATAAAATGAACTGATTCAGACAATGTACAACACGGCGGTGTCCCCATTAATACTCCCGCAGGAATTTATGATGCCCTGCTTGGTTGGACAGTGTATAAAGAATGAAGACTCCTGACCCACTGAGTTCTGTTGATCTAAGTGCTGCTTGGATACCCATCCCTGTATCAAATGAAGTCCTCACGCTCATGCCTAGGGCCGGGCAACCATGAGAGCTGCCATCACTGGCAGAATCAGGAGTCTGGGAACTACCCCTTCAGGTACCAGCAAAAACTCAAACCCACTTTCCATGCTCAGAACCCCTGTGAGCCCATGCATGCAGAACAGATGTATGCCCATACAATGAAATGCCTCTTCAAAGACTACACTGTCGAGATGGAAGCAACTACAGCTAGCATATTCGTTTTTATGGAGGATTTTAGACAGGTAGGTAGTCCAGCAGATAGAATGCCAGACCTCGAGTCAGGAAGACTCATCATCTTCCTGAGTTCAAATCTGGCCTCAGACACTTATGTGACCCTGGGCAAGTCATTTCATCCTGTTTGCCTCAGTTTCTTCATCTGTCAAGTGAGCTGGAGAAGGAAATGGCAAACCCCTCCAGTATCTTTACCAAGAAAGCCCCAAATAGAATCACAAAGAGTCAGACATGACTAAAATGACGAACAAAATGGAGGATTTTATTTTGTTCTGGTTTTTTAAGAGTCACTGTTCAAACTGTACTACACATGAAAGGCTCTAAGCTTTTACCTGAGTAGGAATCTCTCAGGTTGGGCCTCCTTCAACTAAGGTGATCTCAACTTTCTATGACTTAGTAAATAAGTCCTAGTGAGTTTCTTGGGGCCCAGAGAGGTTGTGACTTGCCCAGGCTTACAGAACTAGTAAGTATCAGAGTCAGGATTTGAACCCCGGAATTCCTGACAGCCAGCCCTGCACTCTCCATTATGCCAGATTGTTTCTGCTGTCTTGCAGGAAATGTCCCGATTAAGTAGAGCCTTTCCTCCTGACATGGGCTGTTCATTCAGCTAAGACTCATGTTAGGCAGGCATTCCACCTCCCTGTATAGGTCATGGGTTTTTTTTTTAATTACTGTCGATCCAGAGGTAGAGACACTTCAGAGGTCATCTCTTCCCATTCCCTCATTTTGCAGCAGTCCAGAGGATTTCATTGACTTGCCCAAGGTCACACAGCTACCAAATGGCTGAGCCAGGATTAGAGCCCAGGCCCTCTGTCTCTAAAACTAGGTGTATTACACCATCATCCAATTCCTATCTGGCTAGGGAATATGGCCTGTGTATCCATGATGGGACTAGGTATCCATATTGTATCCCTGTTATGGCTAAAGGCATCCATGTGGTTAACATCACACTAACTGCTAGCATTTATAGAGGGCTTTAAGTTTTGCAAAGTGCTTTACAAATACTATCTCATTTGGTCCTTGTAACAACCCTGGGAGGTGGCTGCTGTTATTATCATCTCCCTTTTTAACAAATGAGGACACTGAAGGGGCAGCTAGGTGGCACAGTGGTTAGAGCACCAGCCCTGAAGACAGAAGGACCTGAGTTCAAATCTGGCCTCAGACCAAACACTTGATACTTACTAGCTGTGTGACCCTGGGCAAGTCACTTAACCCCAATTGCCTAAAAGCAAAACCAAACAAACAAACAAAAAAAACAAATGAGGAAACTGAATCAGACAGAAGTGGAGTGACTTGCCCAGGGTCACACAGCTAGTTAGTGTCTGAGGTTGCATTTGAACTTGGGTCTTCCTGACTCCAGCTCCACAGCTCTATCCATTACACCACCAGCTGCCTCACTATTAACATGAGTACCTGCAGTCTCTATCTATTACTTCTCTTTCTGCACTGCAGAGACCAGCAAAACAGCCTTTTTTCTTTTATTTACACAGAGCACTCAAATCTCCCATCACTTTGCCTTTGCATAGGGTATTTCCCCATGCCTGGAATGCCTTTTCTTCACCTCTACCTCTGCTTCCCTTCTTTCAAGAATTAACTCATGCTTCCACCACCTGCATAAAGCTTTCCCTGATCCCTCCAACAGCCAGAGCCTTCCCTTCCAACTACATTGTATTGAGCTAACTTGTATTTATGTTGTATTTATTCTCCATATATATATGTATGTACGTATGTATGTGTGCACACACATACCTATACAGGCACGTGCTGGAGCCAGCTCGAGTCAGGTCCTGAGAGCAGATTATCAAATTTGTAATGTGAGCACTTAGACCACAAAAATTGGCAAATGCTACAAATAGAGCTTGATTTATTCTTTTGTTGCTTGTCTAGACTTAAGAAAGTGATGGAGAAAATTTGATGATGCAGATTAAACTTAAAAGTGTGCCATGCATGCTTTTTTTTTCATAGAGTTGGTTATTAAACATTTACCTGCATACCCCTGCATACATATACATATGCACATACATATATACATATAAAAACATGTGTATATATGTATTTCTGTACACACACACACACACACACACACAAAGATTTGAGAGGCGATGTAACTTAATGGATAGAGAATTGACCTCACAACCAGGAAGATCTGGGTTCAAGTTCACCACTGACACACACTGGCTGGGTGTCGCCAGGCAAGTCATTTAACTTATCAGTGCTGTAGACAGCTCTTTAAGAGCCATCTTCTTACAGAAAAGGTGCTGACCTGTATCAGTAAAGGAGTTTCCTCCTTTAAGAATAACCCATACCAGGGAAAGAGCAGGTCTAATTCCTAGCCCTAAAACTATCTATGTTTTTTTTTTTAATTTTCTTTTTTGGTGAGGCAATCAGGGTTAAATGACTTGCCCAGGGTCACACAGCTAGCAAGTGTCAAGTGTCTGAGGCCAGATTTGAACTCAGCTCCTCCTGAATCCAGTGTCAGAGCTCTATCCCCTGTGCCACCTAGCTGCCCCCAAAACTATCTATGTATCTGTTGTCTCCCAATAGAATGCAAGCTCCTTGAGAGTAGGGACTGTTTCTTTTTTTGATATATCTCCCCAGTGCCTGGTACAAACCCTGGCATATAGAAGGTGCCTAACACCTGTTGGGTAATTATTCAATTGATTGCCCTAAGAGTCAGGGAAATCTGGATTTGAGTCTCACTTCTAACTGTTTGACCCTTGGCCAGTCACAGATCTCTCAGTGCCCCCCAAGAACTCTCTACTACTATAAATTGCAGACCAGATAGATATCTGCAAGAGTAGAGGGAGTTCCTTAAACCAATGAAATCACAAGTTTAGATTTAAAAAACACATAAATCTTCAATATTAAAGTGCAAATGTCCACCAGGACTTCAGGACTTCAGTGATTTGCTATTTCATCATTGTACTCCCTCTACTATTGCAGATTGCTACTCCTCCATGACTTAGTCAGTCAACTGGTTTCATAAGTCTCTGAGACCAAAGAAGTCATCACTCTAAGGCAAACCTGGCAATAAGTCTCTCTGAACTGAGCCAGGAGCTAGGCTACCCCTTTGGGCAAGAGTCACCAGTACATTACCAGGTTCTACTCAAACTCTTCCCAGCCTGTTTAGATCTTCCTTTCCCTGCCAGAGCCTGAATCTTACCAGCACAGTCTTTGGAAACCTGCATACCATGAAGAGAAGGAAGGTTTTAATAGCAGCTCACCACACAATAAAGACCTTGATGTTTGGTGACCATCTGTCTTCAAAGGATATCATCAACCTTCAGCAAGCTCCTACTGGGTGTCAGATCCTATGGTCAGCTATGCTTGTGGGCAGCAGGAAAAGGATGAGATATAACGATAGCTTTTAGGGAACCATATAATACAATACTAATCACACCTTGTATTCTGTGCTGTACTCTTGGTCCTTCCAAGTTCTCAGGCAGCCGGGCATCACAGTAGATATACTGATTGACTTGAAGTCAAGAAGATCTGAGTTCAAATCCTGACTCAGATACTTACTAGGTGTGACCTCAGACAAGGTATTTCACCTTTCTCAGTCTCAGTTTCCTCATCTGTAAAATAGCAATATTTGTCTCATAGGGTTATAAAGATATTGAGATAGCATATGCAAAGTATTATATAAATGCTAGCAATTATTATCATCATCAAGTAGAGAGGAGGTTTTTCATAGAACACAGGAGAAACTAGCCATCCATGTGAGTTCTGTTTTTCAAAGTAGTCCCCATAAGAAGCTTTACACTTGTTCCTTAACCCCATTGCTAAAAGTGTATGTAGAGCTCGCTACTTTGGGGGACTTGCCTGAGGAGCTAGTAGGAGTCATACAAGAAAACCAGCCTAGCCTAAACACCCCCCTACCTTTGTTTCATGCATTGTCATGGCCAAATAATCCATTACCAAATGGGCAGCATACTGGTGATAAGTCTCTCCACACAATGGTTCAAGGAAAGCTGACTTGGACTTTCTAAGACTGTACTGCAACCCTTTTCATCCTAGGAGAGCCTAACACAGCTTGCACCCTGATATCATAGCCTTCAAGAATATTAATTTTATGTAAACTTTTATCAGTACGTGTTGTCTCCCCCAATAAAAAGTAAGCTCCATGAGGGCAGAGACAGCGTTGTTCTTATCTTTACATCCACAATGCCTAGCACAGTGCCCAATACATAATGGGTGCTTAATAAATTCTTACTGATTGATTCATGGGTCCCTTCCATACCCCAATAAGGTCTTCAGGTAGGACCTTACTCATCAGATTTGAGTCTATGTTCAAGAGTGATCAATCCCAGCTTTCAATGAAGATTTACCATCACTGGGGATCTTATGAAGACTCCTCTTTGGAAATTGCTTTGCCAGCTTTAAAAGCAATTTCCAAAGAGGAGTTTCCAAGGATGTCCTGATCTCTCACAACCTTGTTGAAATAAGTATGTAATACCCTAAGGGGACTCCTTAGAAGGGGACAAATAGCACTCATGTGGATGTATAAATTCTATGTATAAATTTTGTTCAACCTTCAATCCATCTACCTCATAGCCATTCCTCATCCACAGATGATCGACATCCACAGTCCAGAAGAAACAGTATAGCACACGGTCAGAGAGGGGAATATGAGTATCAGATGGAATAAATAAAATAAAGAACCACTAACGATCTAAACCATGTACTGGGAATGGGAGCACCCTTCCAGTGCTCAGTCACCCTTCTTGGATAATGTTGACACCTGCCACTTAACTCCTTAGCCCCCATTCCATTATACAGAATATATATATATATATATGTATATGTATATATGTATAATGCCAAGAGAGTGAGAGGAATAACTGACAGGTCAATACATGAGAGGACTAGCAAGGCAATTTTTAATTTGGGCAAGCCACTATAACCCATCTATAAAGAGCAAAAATTGGAGCAGATGATCTCTCAGGTCTATGATCCCATGTAAAGATCATCATGTGACCTACATGGTCAGCATACAGGACACCTGTGTCTCAATTCCCATTGAATTCACAGAACCCAGGAGTGGACTTTGGGGATGTGTCTGAGCGCCTTGCTTTGCGTCAGAGGCTCCAGTGTCGCAGTTTCAAGTGGTACTTGGAGAATGTGTACCCTGAGATGAGGATTTATAACAATACCATCACCTACGGAGAGGTAGGTACCATGCTGAAATATCACTTCTCATAGTTGGTATGCATCCTCCCGTGGACAAAGCTGGCTTCCCTGTCCTGTCCCCCTTAGTATGTCTCCCTCCTTTACAAGGTGTTTTGAGAAAAAATACCTTTTAAATCTGAAGGCACGACCAGAGTGTGAATTTTAATTGTCTTCCTAGACTCTGTCACCCAAAACATGCAAACCATTCAATCCAAAGTAAGTAAAAGCCATCTTTCCTACTTCTGTGAAGTATCCATGGTGACAATAAATACTTCACAGCAGGGATGCTTCTGCCTTTTTTTCTGCTTTTTTGTGTCTATGACACCTAACTAGTTGTGTGACCTTGGGCAAGTTATTTAACCTCTGTTTGCCTCAGTTTCCTCATCTGTAAGATAAGATGATAAAAGCACTTACCTCCCAGGGTGGTTGTAAACATGTAACATGTGAACATGTGGGAGAACATGTAAAGTGCATCATAAACCTTAAAGTTCAATATAAATGCTAGATATTATTATAAATTATTATTTATGTTATGAACCCTCTGGGTATCTGGTGAGGCTTGTAGATCCCTTCTCCAAATCATGTTTAAATAATTAAAGGAGATGTTAAATTTTAATTAGAAATTAGTGAAAATTATGATGAATTTTTTTTTCCCTATCCAAATTCATAGACTCTAAATTCTCCATGTACTCCAAGTCAAAAACCTCTGTCTTAGAGTTATCTGCCATACATGAAGGAGCCACGGCTTTGGTGGTTTAGGAAGCTCCCACTGTGGAAATTGCCTCTCCAATAGAGATTGCAACTTATCAATGATTTAGAGGAGCCCTAGGAAATTGCCAGAGGCACCTAGGGGTTAAACGACTTACCCAGGATCACATGGCTATTAAATGTGTCACAGGCAAGATTTGAACCTAAGGCTTCCTCACTAGAAGCCCAGCACTCTCTATTTGGCTCTCTCTGGCAAAGAATGCATAAAATCATCACTCTTTCCTTGCTGGTTTTTCTTTATGGCCTCAGCACCATGACAGGAATAACCAAGGAGCTTTTCCTTTAGAAATCAATAGTTTCTTTAAGGCTAAATAGACAAAACTTAGGAACTGGTTTCCTGTGCAAGATTAAGTAAGATCTACCATTTGGGGAATCTAGCTAAATCTGTTGGAGATTTGAAGCTGCATAATGTAGTTGCCAGAGTATAAACTTGGAGTCAGGAAGTTGTTGTTTCTCTCATTTTTTCAATCTTGGCCACCTCTTCTGAACCCATTTGAGGTTTTCTTGGCCAACATACTGGAGTGGTTTGCCATTTCCTTCTCCAGGTCATTTTACAGATGAGGAAACTGAGGCAAACAGGGTGAAGTGACTTCCCAGGATCACAGAGCTAATAAGTGTCTGAGGCCAAATTTGAACTCAAGTCTTCTCGATTCCAGGCTCAGTGCTCCAACTAGCTGCTATTATAAAGAGTGGACTGCCGTATGGCTCCACTCAGCCATCCGTACGAACTAGCCAGACCAAAACTCCCCTCGCTGACCACCATTCCCCTGTATATATTGTCACACACACCCCCTCCCCAATTAGAACATAAGCTCTTTGAAGACAAGGGAAGTCTAACCTTTGAATTCACGTCTCTAGTACCTATTACAGTGCGTGACATATAGTAAGCATTTTATTTCATTGCATCAATGAATGCATTTTCATTCATTTGTCCAATAATTCATTCATTCACTGGTGTGCCCAGTCCCTAGCCTCAGACCTGGGATGGACACTGGCTAATAATACAATTTCTCCTTTGGCTCCTGGACACAGGTGAGAAACAGCAAGGCCAGTGGCTACTGCTTGGACCAGGGGGCAGAAGACGATGATAGAGCAATACTATACCCTTGCCATGGGATGTCCTCACAGGTAAGCCCACCCACACCACTCACCAAAGGGACCATAGAGTAGAAATTGAGGAAATGGTACAGGATGGACACAATCTGCTGAGGCTGAAGGTTGGTTTTAGGGAGAAACCTAGATTTGGTTTGATCAGTGAGAGGCCAAGAAATGAGCACACACTGACATAGAGACAAAACTAGGAGTAGGCAATATAGGCAGCTTCTCATGGTGCAACACACTAGGGGCAGGACAAGGATTATGTTATGATATGAGATTAGTGATAAAATCTCCCCTCTCCATGGCAGGTGGGTCTTAAGTGTAAGCCGGCAAGTCACCTGTGTTATAGTGAAGGCTCCGAGCCTCCACTGGACTGTATCACACTTAGTCTTTTAAAAGGTAAAATTGGGTTTGTATTGCCATGATGGGGGAGAGAAAGGCCTGCAATTTTCAAACCTTTCTGGGGGCACTGAGGCATTTGGCCCCTGTTCTACATGAACCAAACCTAGTTATAACCTGGCTGAAAAAGCAAAATACATGAATACACTTCTGAAGGATTGTGTCCAGTTCTGGGGTGCCATGGCTTTGAAAAGGAAAGGCCCAGGTACACAGGAGCCTGTTCCAAAGGTTTCCCAGTGTGGCTCAGTGAATAGGGAGCTACATTTGGAGTCAGTTTGGATCTGATCCAGATACTTAGTAGCTTAGTAGACTCTCTTTGACTCAGATTTCCCATTTGGAATGGGACAGAATGGGATGGAATGGGATAGGAAGGGACGGGACGGGATGGGGATGGGATGGGATGGGATGGGATGGGATGGGATGGGATGGGATTCAACCTCCAATTTCATTGATTTAAGGAACTTCCTCTACTAGTGTAGATCAGTACCTGTTCTGCAACTTAGAGTCTTAGGATGATGCTTGGAGCACTAAGAGGTTAAGGGACTTGTCCAAGGTCACACAGCCAGCACGTGTCCTAGGTGGGTCTTGAGCCATCTTCCTGGCTTCATGTTCAACTCTCTATCCGTTATGCCATGCTTACACTTGTCTTCAAATGTGAAACAGAAATAATTATAATGATGATGATGATGATGATGATGATGATGGTGATGACAATGATGATGATAATAACAATAATAGCTCCTGACTCACCCAGTTATTGTGAAGACCAAATGAGATTATATTTATGAAGTATTTTAGAAGCACTATATAAATGTGACCTATTATTAACATTATGCATGTGAAAGCCAGTTAAAGAAACACAATGGGGATAGTAAGTCCAAAGGGGAAAAAAAGATAGGGGTAGCATGGTAACTACCCTCAGATATTCCAAGGACTATCCTGTTCTTGTCCTCAGGGGCCAGAATTAGAAGCAATGGGGAAGAATTTTCCCATTGATATTTGAGTTCAATATAAGAAAAAGTTCCTAACACTTAGGGGAAGTATAATGAGCTGCCATGGGAGGCTGTGGGTCCTCCCCCATGTTTCCAAATGAAGGCTGGCTGATGGCCCCTCGGAAATGTTGTGTCAAGGATTGCAGGACCACAGCTCTACAACTGGAAGGGACCTCAAAGGACATCCAGTCCAATCCCTTCATTTTACAGAAAAGGAAATTGAGGTATCTGGAGGTGAAAGGACTTGCCTAGGGTCATCGAGATGATGACATTGGGATTTGAATCCCAGTCTTCTGATTACAAATCAATCTTGGAATATGGTTCTAGACTCCAAATCTCTTTCCATGGTACCTACCTCCTGTTCTTGTTCAGGTATGAGTTATCTGGTGCTAAGGTTCTTTGGTTCTGTGAGGCCTTAAATCAGGCACTGCACACAATGGTAAAAATGGGAAAAAAAACCACACGGGACTATAAATATAAAATCAGAAGGGTCCTCAGAAGTCATCTAGTTCAACCCCCTATTCTACAGATGAGAAAACAGAGGCCCAGCAAGGTGAAGTGTTTATCTAAGGTAATACAGGTGGTAAGTGACAGAGCCCAGATGCAAGCCCAAGATAAGAAATGCCTAATTTTTTCCACTCTCTGCTGCTTCTCCCCTGTTTATAGATTCAGTAATTAGGTAGTCCTTGGTGACTGTGCTGGAACATCTAAGAGACAGCTTGATGCTCCCACCATGATTTTCCCAGTGAGAGTTGGGACCTGGGGACCTTTGGGGAAGGGACAAGCTGAAGTAGAGGTCCCTGCCCAGGCAGGTGACCTTCAAAAAGGTCTCCTCCCCAGAAAGACATCAAAGACTTCTATGGACAAGCTTTTCTAGGGAAGGGATAAGCATCAATTCCACCCCCCCCCAACACACCACACCAATACACACTGCTGGAAACCAGCATCTTCCCACATTGATCTGGGGGCTCAAGACTGAAACTTAATGAACATTTCTATTCTATCTATCATTTCTCTTTAATAGGGTGCTCTGGCTCCCTGTGGATTTATTGCCTCTGGTTTTCTTCTTGTTAATTTTCCAATTTCTTTAGGAGACAAAAAGAGACCTCCCTGTTCCCAATTCATAGACAGAACTCAATGCTATTTCCAAGTGAATGGATTTTAAAAAAGGATTTCCCTCCCCACCTCTCCCCAGCCTCATGTTTTCAATAATGGCCCTCATTTTTAATGGGACTTGGATATTATTTAAATTAAACATAAGACTTCAATATTCTACCCCACGCTTCATGTGTCTTTTTGGACTCTATTGATGTGTTATCTAAATCCAGGCTGCATTAATGAACAAACACCCATTGGAGCAGAGAAAAATTGTGACCTTATCCCAGACAAGACGGTTAATGACAGTCCAGCCCGACAGATTGGCTTAGAATCGCCATTTGTACTACTGCAGAGCAACATGACGAGGTCTGCAGAGTGTAAATGGGGCTTACTGTGGTTAACTGCCATGCACTGATGGGCCAAACCTTATTACAACAAAGTAGAGAAGCGCCTGACTTCCCTTCCCTTCTTCCACCTTTAGTGGTCTCATTAAGAGATACTTGACTGACACTTTCCCAGTGAATTTTAGCTGAATAGCCTTCGATTGTGATAACAAAATGGAATTGCTAAATTAGATGCAAATGAGCTGCCCTTGAAGAAATCCAATTTGTGGAGCCTGTCAAAACTTGTGTGGATAATTCTACAGCGGGAGCCGTTTTTTCTATAGACCAGAAGGTTACCGGTTCAAGTTCTGTTAGAATGAACCCCTGTAATCTCCAGGCTTCAGGTTCTTCCAAGTAACAATATAAGGTAATGATGCAAGTAGGGTAGACTGAAGTTGATTTTTTCCACAAAAACTTCCCCATACTGTGGCTTAAATTGCCAAACTCAACGCTACCAAACACATTCAACTGAAACTTCTCTCTCCAAAGATGCTGATAGTCTAATTGCCAAATCCAGTGGCTTTTTCTCACTTCTCATCCCTCTTCACCTCTCTGAAGCCTGCTGTAGGTTAGGTACCATACAAAGTGCCAGGGATACAAAGAAAGGCGAAAGCATGGTCCTTGCCCTCAGGGGGCTCACCTTCTAAATGGAAGAGTCAACATGCAAACAACCATGATGCTATCACTGACCCGCTTTTCCTGAATATTCTTTCCCTTCTGGGTTATTGTGGCATTGACCTCTCCTGTCTACCTGACCATTCCTTCTCGGTGTCCTTACCTGGATCTTCACGTAGCTCACACCTCCTGGATATCCAATAATCTACCTTGGATGCTTTTCTCTTTTCCCTGTACACAGGGGATCTTAACCTGTGACACTGGGTCTTTTAAGACATATTTTGATAACTATATTTCAATATAATTGCTTTTGTTGATAATCATATGTATTTTATTTTATGTGTTTAAAAACTTGACTCTAAGAAGGGGTCCATAGGCTTCTCCAGATTTCCAAAGGGGTCCATGACAGCAAAAAGATTAACCCCTGTTCTATACTATCCCACTTGGTGACCTCATCAGCTCCCATGGATTTAACTATCATCTCTATGCAAATGATTTTCAGATCTATATACAGTTTTCAGCTGTTGAAGCTCGAAACTACACAAAGACTTTTGGGATCCCCTATATCCAGCCCTAATCTCTTTCCTGAGTGCCACATCACCAACTGGTATCTGGATGTCTGCTAGGAATATCAAACTCAACATGTCCAATGTAGAATTCAGCATTTCCCTCAAACTCTTTCCCATCTGGAACTTCAATTTTACTGCTGAGAAGACCACCCTCTTCACAGTCACAAAGACTGGCAACTTCAGGGTCATCTTCAACTCTCTTGAATTCACCCCACTTCTCTAATCTGTTGCAAAATCTTGTCATGTCTGCTTTCACATTTCTCATTTATATCCCCTTCTCTCCATTCAAATAGCCCCGGTGTAGGCCCACGTCACCTCTCACCTAAATTATTGCAATGGCCTCCTAGCTGGTCTTCCAGCCTTAAATTTCTCCCACTCCAATCCACTCTCCACTCAGCTGCTATGATTTTCCTAAACCATAGGTCTGACCACATCATGCCGTTACTAAAAAAAAAAAAAAACGCCAACGTCTCCCCTTCACCTCCAAGATCAAATACAAAATCCTCCATTGGAGATTTAAAAATCTTCCCAATCTCTTTCCCATGTTTCCAATCTCCTTACCCTTTATTCCCCATCTCCACACTCAACTGTCTAGCAAACTATGTTTTTGCTGTTCCTCACATGTCACTGTCTCCTAAGCTTTAAAAAGATAATGGTAAGGAAACATTTTTTAAAAAAGGAAAGGAAAGGAAAATGTCTCCCAGGCTCTGTCCATTTTCATTGGCTCTCCCCCCAAGGACGGAATTCTGTCCCTCATCACCTTCCCCTCCTAGCTTCTCTGGCTTCCTTTAAAACTCAGCTCAATTACCACCTTCTATAGACCTTTCTTAGTGCACACACACATACACACACACACCCCTTATTGTCCTGCCCCCTCTCCTCCTCCCCAGTGCCATCCTACTGAGACTGCCTTCCATTTACAAGAACATGTCTCTCCTATTACGTTATTAGTTTCTTCAGAGCAGCCACAGTGT